TACTTGGATCCATCAATTGTGAAGCAGAGCTCAATAGACATCTTTAAGAGAGATGATGTTGGTCAGAGGAGCCTCTCTTGTGCTGTGGCTAGTGACAGCAAATCTCAGTCTTTCATAAATCAAAAAATATGATGATAATCCTACCATTCATTTTTGCAGCAGGAATCATCATGAAAATTTTAAAGTAATGAAGTATCGCATGGAGCTGGAGAGTTCTAGTTTGTTTTGAAACCCACAGAATAAATGATGAGAGCAGAGCTATGCAAACCATAGATGCCTGCTTTCAGTTGGGGTATCAACCATGGTGACCATTCCCATGGTTTACATGCATTTCCCAAGCCTTTTTTTGTGGGCCACAATTACACTGCCACAATTTAATAGCAAATCACCAATATTTCCCACTAGTTCTGATTAGAAGATAAATGTATAATACAGTTAAAACCTTTGCACTAAACCCTCATATAAACCTTTGCACTAAAACAGCAAGATCCCCCCCAAATCCCCCAATTTTTGTTTCAAATTGCCTGAAAATGAAGCAAAATATAAAATATTTTTTCTTTTCTTGATGAAATTTTCCTCTAAATGATCAGATCATCTATTTTCTGCCAAAGATGCTAGTTTCTAATAGTAGATTTTGATTCCTATATAAATTGTCATCCTGATGGCCAAAGTACAATTAGGTCCTTGAGAAACCTCACCATTAATCACTATGTGTCAGATTGGTCTAACAAGTGGCAACTTCAAATATCAACCAACAAATGCTCTGTCTTGCACATTGGCAAAAAAAAAATCAAAACATAAAATACAAATTAGGTGGACATGACCTTGTAGATGACCCTCACTCTGTCAAGGACCTTGGAGTACTCATTTCTAAAGATCTAAGTGCCCAAGCCCACTATAGGAACATTGCCAAAAAGGCATTAAGAGTTGTTAACCTAATCTTGCGTAGCTTCTTCTCTGGTAACGTTATACTACTAACTAAAGCATACAAAACATTGCTAGACCAATTCTTGAATACAGCTCATCTGTCTGGAACCCGCATTGTATATTGGACATAAATACAGTCGAGAGAGTCCAGAGATATTTTATGAGAAGAGTCCTCCATTCCTCTAACCGCAATAAAATATCTTATGCCACCAGACTCCAAATTTTGGGCTTAGACAATTTAGAACTACGCCGACTTCAGTCTGACCTAAGCATAGTACATAAAATTATCTGCCACAATGTCCTTGCTGTCAATGACTACTTCAGCTTCTACCACAACAATATACATGAGCAAATAATAGATACAAATTCAAGGTAAACTGTTCCAAACTCGAATGCAGAAAATATGACTTCAGTAACAGAGTGGTCAATGCCTGGAATGCACTACATGACTCTGTAGTTTCTTCCCCAAACCCCCAAAACTTTAACCTTAAACTGTCTACTGTTGACCTCACCCCATTCCTAAGAGGTCTGTAAGGGGCGTGCATAAGTGCACCCAGCGTGCCTACCATCCCTGTAATAATATTCCTTTTTATTTATTCTTTTCATGTATTCAAATTATATTTATACTTTTACCTGTTATCTTATATATCCTTGACAAATAAACTTATGATTATGATATGATTAATCAAAATCTAACAACAGAGAGTTCCCACATAAATTGTTTCTTTATTGTACTGAGTTTTAGGAATTAGTCAGAACTGAACATTCAGTTTTCTCTTTATCTTCACATTTAAACTAATTATCCTCTTTTATGTATAAGAGATACCCCTAAACTATCTACCTTTACTTCAGCTTCTGTTTCATAAACAAGGTGTGTTTATTTAGATGGATAAACAGATCTTGCAAATAACAGGGAAGCTTTACAGGAGATTCCACTCATACTAACTTGCATATATATATTATACCACAAATTGCTAGCAAGTATAACTAACTAGTTCAATCAATCTAAACCATTTGTTTTGTTTTGTCCTAATGGTTTGGATGAACTTGTTTCCAAGGTTTAAAATAAACTTTTGGGACTTTTCTTTCTGAATAAATGAGTAACCACAATGTTTAAAAATCATAGGATTTGAGTTGTAAGAATTATTTTTCCAGGAAAGAGCACTTGTATCATTATAATTATATAGCTCATATAGTGTTTGTATAATTTAATCACTTCAGGTATACATATTTGTTGTAATGAAGTTTATAACAGATTAAAGGTTCATGATGTCCTGCCTAATTCAAAACTAGTATGTTACCATTTTAAATATAGATAAAATACAAGACCTGCTCTCAAGTAATTTTAAATAAATTTAATAGTAGCTCAGGAAAGGGCTTCAGTATTTAAATGGGGTAGTAAATTACTGATTAGTTATTTCTGACTGAGGACCTTTCCCATTGGCACCTAACCATGGCAGAAATAAGCCTTGGGAACATTTTATGCCTTGCTTCCAGGACGATGCCTTTATCTCCTCTTTACCCTGTGAAAAAAACTTTTCTCTTATTCCAACATCCTCCAGGGCTAGTTCAAAAAGTTGAGTTTTGTCACTTATTATATTCAGGTGACTGAAATTATTTCAGACAAAATGATTGGCAGTAACCATTTTTAGATAATACTATTCTATTTAACTTAATTTGATTTGATTTGATAAACAATGTACCATCCAACATGACTCTGTAGCCTTACTGGTGTGAAGACTATTATATTTTCTTCTTCTGACTTCTGCCAAGCCACATTAACTTTGTTCATGGGCTTGATGAAGCAACCATTGCCTTTGTCCCTAAAAATTGTTAAAAGCTGGTAATCTAACAACGTTTAACAATGACTCTACATCAGGGGTGGGTTCTAAATTTATTTACTACCAGTTCTGTGGGCGTGGCTTATTTTGTGGGTGTGGCTTGGAGGTCGTGTGGCTAGGTGGGTGTGGCTAGCTGGTCAGTCATTTCTGGAAGGTCCTCGCACTTACGACCAGTCATCGCACTTACGACCTGACTCATTTGTTTGCTTTTAATACCGATCAGCTGTAGGATGGCCCTTTGAAGCCCCGCAGCAAGAGTTTAAACAGTTTTTTTCCCTCTAGTCATCAGCTGGGACTCAGGAGGCAGCAATAGATTGGGGGTGGGACCAAATAAAACGTAAGAATAACGTGGGTGGGGGGGAGGGCGGGGGGAGAACCAGTTCGGTGACATCATATCATCACCGCTACCGGCTTGGCCGAACCGGATCGAACCGGGAGGAACCCACCACTGCTCTACATTAAACTTACAAAGTCCATGTCAAGGCTAACTTTAAACTGCAGACTTCCCAGCTTAAACATCAGGCCTTCCTTAGACTTTCTTGCTTCTTGCTTTCTTTTGTGTTTTATAATATCTGGCTTAAAAAAATGGTTGGAAGTACTCAAACTTGCATAGTCATTATTTTGGTCATATTCACTATATAGTCAAGCTGTGGATTTTAGATTTGTGTCTCATAGTTACTCCCATTCATCCAATTTTCTATTATTCTTTCTATATCTATGTTTTTCTTAAACATCTGGTTCTCAGACTTTCTCATTTAGTCCTAGATTCTTCTAGTTAGTATTTGATGAAATATGAAATGAAATGAAATATCATTCCATTTTTTTCTGATATTACCCCGTGCTCCTATACCTTTCTTGATCACTAACTTTATTATATCTTCTTTGCTAGATTTACACTATTATTATTTAAATAATGAAAATCATTTCCATTCTTACCCTCTAGGAGTAATTGATTTTCCTTGCAAAATTGCCTTAAAAGTTGCTGTTAAAATTGCTTGAATACTCGGAATCTGGTTCCATCCTGGTTTTAAGTCAAGCCAAAATGTATCCCTGTGGGTAAGACATCTAAGTTCCCCTGTTGAAGAGCATCGTCTCATCCATACACTGCAACCCTGTTTGCCTAGTTGGTTCTCTGTGTAGAATCAATGAAACTTTGCACATTATTCATCATTGGCTTGGCTCACTGTACTGTACAATTACATATTCAAAATAATCAATGGCACTTCCTCTTTCTTTAACCACTAATGAGATTAGATAATCAAGATATATATTAAAATGCACAAAAATATTTAGAGAAATATTCACTTACCCAGGATATTTTAAGGCTCTGAGAATCCAGGACAAAATGTTCATTTAAACTCCACCCTATTTCTTCTTCTGTTTCTAGCAGTAATACGATTCTTTTTTACATAATATTTTGGCCACTAAAGCCAATGGTTAAATAAATAGCAGCATGTGATAAAATCCAAACCAAATAAATAAACCTTGGAATTATTGAATAAATTCCACTGGTTTGAATGAGAAGTGTTTTTCCAGCAATATTATTTTGCATGTTGGTCCATTCTTTGAGCAACTGCCCTCAATATCTTGCTCCTAAAACAATCAGGACTCATAGTCACTTCTTACTTCAATTTTAGTAAATAGGGTTCTAGATGACAACTACATGATATAAAAGTTTGAAGCATATAATCCCTTCCTCTTCTGCCCATAACTGGAAAGCTGTCAGATCATTCATTTCCATAAAACTGAATCAAGAATTCCTTTCATGGAAAAACAATCCTGCATTATCTTCTGAATGGTATAATACCATTGCCCTTACTAATTACCCCATATAGTCTTAATTCAGTTATTTAGAAATGATGGCTCCATTTCAGAATGATACAAAGTGGGGCACACAGGGGATTGGAGGGGGGGGAATCCTGCTCATTATGTGCTTTCTATGTGTTTCTTAGTAACAAGAACAAATGTACCCAGTCGTAGATGAAGATACACATGGCAGATATTACAGAAAGGCTTCTCGGCCTTTTGGCTGAGATCAAGTGTAATTTTACAGAAGAGAAAGGTGTTGAGGATTATTTTAGAGCTATGCTGTGGAAGGAGAAATTTTATATTCCTTCCATCCATCACAAGAACTAATAACAATGAATAAAATTAGTTATCATAAGAATTGATGCAGTTGATCCAAAATGTCTCCACAAACACTCTCCTTAAAATGCATGGACAGAATATCTCTTTCACTTTGTTGTTTACTGCAAAGGTGGAAAATTCTTTTAATAATGCATTGTATTGAAACAAAGACTAAAGACTCTGGAGACTAACTTTCTACCACCTTGCCTACCTTTTTAAAGAAAAAACATATAGGGGATGTTACTACTGTCCTAAACTTGCATCCAGATATTTAAAAAATCAGCTTAATACAGGACACTGTCTGATTTGCCTTGTTAATTTGGGTGGAATGAACAAAAGTCAAATAAAACACCTGAGAGGCCACATAGGACAAATGCAGGAATTGCCGCCTCCTGATAGGCACTTATGCCTTGAGTTTTCAGTATAATGGAACTGGTGATGGTATATTTCCTATTGTTATAGCCTCAAAAATTTTGTCACAGAGACAGTGTAGATCCTTCAACATATCCTTCAATCCTACCACAATTATGAAAATAATAACAACAACATATATTGAAATTTCAAATATATTTTCTTTACAGGGACTTGTTTGTATTGATACATAGATATACACAGAAAGAAAGAAATAGAGTTAATAATAGACAAAGAGAAAGGAAGAGAGACAGAAGTACACAAGTGGTGCACATATACATGTGCCCTTTTTACAAAAATAAATGAATCTTCCACTCCATTGTGAATTGCCTGAATCACACCTCACTTCTTCTGCCTTTTGTGTCTTTCTTGCCTTCTCACTATTTTTTAAAAAATTCCAAGTTGAATTGGAATCTGAATTGCAGGTCCAAGTTAGTTCTTGGTTGGCAAGTTTGCAAACCTCCCTTTCTGTAAATTGGAGTCCCATTTGTATAATTTCTCCTCACATACTGAACAAAAGTGTAGCCAAGGATATAAGCTGGAGACTTAAGGACTATTGTCCTTTTTCTTTCCCCCAGCAAGTACAATATCTGTTAGGATGATATATCAAAAATTAATGAAGAAATCTGTCCAAAATGTATTCATCAATACCAGAAGAATCTTAGAAATAAAAGTTATCAGTCCAGGTTTGCCTGTTCTTCAAAATAGATACTTTCCAGATACTTTCAGATCAATTTTCCCAACTTGTAAAAGATCACTGAGCTTCTGTGGCCAGCTGAACAAAAATCTGTGGGTTGATTCAATTTGGTTTGTTTCAGATGAAATTAGATATTCACTCTATCTATCATGTAAACGTCCCAAATACATTCTTTCTCTCATAAACCTAAAAGAAAGAGACATTCTTTCCCACTCTTACTTGGAAGCTTACAAAGCTCTGTCTTTTCGCAAAATCTTAAGATGGTATCTACCACAGAATAAACATGAAACTTGGAAATCTGGGCAAGAAAAAAACAAGTACTGAAGCTGTGGGATCCATCCAAGAAATGGCTGTTTTCTCAGTCCATTTGACTCTTTCAAGGAAAATTAGGAGACACATTTGATTGCTGATCATATAACAGGAAGGGCAAAGAGAGGAGGAGACTGAAGAGAAAGAGATGGGAACAAACTGCCACTGAGTTGAAGCAACTTCCCCTCAACTACGCGTATTCTCAAGCAATAACAACGCTATCTGTATTATATACCCAAGAATACCCGTCATCGAAGGGAGCATAGTCACCAAGCCAACCTGCTGAGTCTTCTTCAGCAAACCCCCACAAGCAAAATGGCCCAGTTAATGGATCTTGGCCTGCAAGAGAGGCAGAAAAGAAAGAGGCTTCATATAGAGGCAAGCTCTCAAGGAATTCATTATAAAAACCAAATGCAGAACAAGTCAGCTATGTAGACTTAATGCCACAGCCAACAATAAGGAAAAAAAAAACCATCAACAGCAATCATCTTAATTGATTTGTCCTTGTGGGACAAGTATTTCTGTATATTTAGTTGTCATTAATGAGGACCATAGAGACACAATTCTTTGCTATGCCCATAAGACATAAGGCTACACCATGGCTGGCATGAACTCAAATCCAAGACTATCATAACAGTGTGACTTCATTCTCCACCTGTGAAATCTCAAATTAATCTGACATGAAAGTAAAATAAGTAAATAGTAAAGGTAAAATAAATAATTGTTTTATGTTAAGACTTTGAATGGAATGACTTATAGATCTAAATTGATGTAAATAATTTCTCCAAATCCTTAATGAAACCTCAAGTAACAGGCTTCAATGCAAAGGGCTTCAGATGCCACAGAAATTGGCAACACAGGCAAATGGAGGATGGAAATAAAAGTGGGGCAAGAAACTAATACTTAGGGCATTGTGACCCTTTGCGCACACACACACCATGAGTTTCTGCAATAGAAGTCTTACAATGTGACTTCACCTGACAGGCAATAGAGCAGGACACCCATTAGTAGATGTATTAGTGCAAAGTTAAAAAAACAACAACATAGTGCTCCTCTTAATTGCACAGACCAGTCTGCAAGCATGTCCAGATGCCCACTGACAACAACTCATTTCATAAAGCTATCTAAACCTGGTTTCATAAAGGTTCTTTTGAAAGCATGGAATTACATGAAGCAGAAAACCTTCACAGTTGCCTTTCTCATAGCCCCAAATGACCATAGTTGTAAAGTGTTTGTTCAAAGCAGTGGTTTAAATGTGGAGGAGAGTGGCTCTTTAACCATCTCTTGAGCTGAATCCAGACACTCAGAAGGAATTAAGGGAGGGTTTTGCTTTACTTTGGCAATCATTATGTCTCTCTGGGAAGTCTCTTTTGACAATGTTAAGACCTTCTGGCCTAACAAAGACACCACCCACATACAGATGACTAATCATGAAGATAATACCTATATACCGGATGTACAAAATTTTTTGTACTTCCTAGCATTTTGTTCTGCAAATTTCACCATTCCCCATGCTTTACCATATTTCTGATTACAATGCAAAGATGTTTAGCAAAACTGACCCCCTCAACATGCACATTTTATGCAATATCATAGATGGGTGTTATGATGCAAATTCTTTTATGCACAATATTCTAAACTGTCCTGTTTGAATTCCTCTTTTACAGCTGTAGAAATTGAGGTAGATAAGTGATTGGGCCAGATAATTCCTAGTTGCACCAGATCAACTGACTTTTTCTGTCAGATCAAGAAATGGGAACTGGAATAAGGAAAGGGGGAGGTGGCTTTTGTGGCTGGAAAATGATACTACATGGGGATTACGGCGTTTGAGTTTGTAGCTTTCACAGAGATAAAGTATCCCATTATATCCTTTCACTTCCATATAATTCTTTTTAAATCTCTGTTGTCAGAGCCCCTGAAAGCAAAATCTTAGGAATATCCGCTTCCTGATTGAGGCTTGCTTAGTTTTTGATGTCCAAAAGGCACATGTTTGTACACAGAGACCCAGAATTGCTGCTACCCAGTTTCAATTCATGCATATATTCCTGTCATGTCTATACCTTGTCACATACTCTTGGTGACACTGAAGCAGATCACTTCATCCTATTGCTTGGCCCTGACAGTAATAAAGAATGGACTGAATTGCAGGCCAGTTTCCTACTTAGATGCTATTGTATTTGCCATGGCTGTTTTACCTCCAGCACCAAGGACAGCTCCCACCAGCCTCTCTTACCCAAAGTAATAATTGCTGAGTGCCTGGTCGAAATCTGGAGGTGTTGGCAATGAATTCCATTAATGGAGGACTCCAGATTGCAGCTCACACATTCAGTCTGTTCTACTGGTATTGGAAGAAGACTGCACCAGGCAAAATGGATTGCAAACTACAGAGAGCTGAGATACCAAAGCCATACAGTAATGCAATTGGATTTGCTTTGGGTGGAAAGAGAAGCTTTCATTAACTTTGCACTAATACACATTCCTGACTGATTTTAGTTCAGAAGACAGTAGATGTTTTTACTCTGATGATAGAGTAAAAGTAGATAGAAGAAAGCCAAATTTCTATGCTTCATCTACATCTGACAGTACTAGCCATGTAATCTTTCTCTTGCTAATACTTAGATGGATTTTCTTCAAGTGACTCTGAATGCAACTTCTAATGCAAGGTTTTCCTCCAAAAGCAAATCAAAACATTTATAGCATTGCATTTTTAAAGATATTGTTATTAAATGCATTAACAATAATATTTTTCTTATTTGAGAGACAGAGTTATTATATTGTATGTGTGTGTCAGTTAAAAAACTATATGAATAAGCATAAACACTTGGATTTAGAACAGTGCCTGTTTTTGTATGAAAGATTACCACACAGAGGAGCAAGGAAATTGTTTCTTAGGAAAACATACATGCATACATATAGACAAACACACCACAATGTGATTTTTCCATGTATCCCATATTTTGACTCACCAGAGGCCTCCAAGGCAGTACGTTAGATGCAGAAATTATCATGTTTCTAATAATACAACCCATGAAAAACAAAAAATAAATATTTGAAATATTGGGTATGTCTTTAATTTATAATTATTAAATAATTATTGGGTAGTAAACCTTCCTGTTTAAAAGCCTGGCTTCCTAATCAAAAATATGATGAGTTGAGATGGGGAGGGAGCAAAAAAAAAAAATCACAATTCAATCATTTCTCTTCCCCTCCTCGAAAAAAACTCCATGTAATAAAGAATGCCTGTTGAAAAATCTGGTAGAGGAAATATGAACTAACCCTCAGCCCTGAGGAAAGGAGGCAAGAAAAGTCAGGTGGGGATCATTATAAAACGACACCAAAACAACACACACCCAAACAAAAGGAAAGGATGTAGCGGTGGAAACAGAGGGAAATGTGAAGGTGGAGTGTGAGTGTGTGTGGGGGGGGGATGAGTTTGGCAAGCCCCGCTTTTCCCCCTTCCACGCTGCCACACCTTAGTTAATGCCATCTCGGTAGAGAAGTCAAAATACATCATTGAAACTCGTCCAGTCTCCAACGCGCAAGAGTAAAGGCACTGAAGGAAGCCCGAACGATCCCGAATTCCGAGGCTTCAAGCAGAAATGCCGCCTTGACGGAAACCGAGGCGAAAACACAGAGACAAGACAGCCCTCGACTCACCCGTGTGCTTCTCTCTCACTCTCTTTTCCGCCGCCCCAGGAGAGCTCGCCTCTTCCCAGGGGCTCCAGTCGCCTCTTGCCCCCGATCTGGTCCCTTCTCTCTTCCCAGCCGAGGAAAGCCCTGGATTTCTTTTGGAATCCCATCCCGAGATCACGCCCGCCCCTCCCCCCCCGCTCCCTCTTTGCCCGCTCCTCTTCCCTCCCCTTTCCACGATCCCAGCGAGGTTCCCTCTTCCCCACCCACCCAGGTCCACAAACCTCCATGTTTCTGGAGAGAGAACCTCAACCTTTCACTCCCAGCCGCTCCGCCGAGCACAAAGGGGTCAGGCAGCCGCAAGAGCCTTCCTTCTCCTGCGTCTTGACCGACTTGCGGGGACGGCCCACCCCCGAACGCGCCCCCCACCCCAACCGGGCTCTGGCTGCCGCTCTGATGCCCCAGACGCTTTCCGCCGTGGAGGAGACAGTCTCTCGGGGCGCGCAAGGGCCGAAGCCGACCGCTCATTGGAGACGAGAGGAGGGCGGTGAGACAACGCCGAGCCCAGCGGTGGGAAACCCAGCCGGGGGCCAATGCTCGGGCCCGGCCCGGCCCAACCTCGCCTCCTGCTACCACGCCGCTTCTCCTGCTGGCCTGGGAAGGCGTGGGCAGGGCCAGGTGGAGCCGGAGCCTAACGTGCCGCGCCTGCGGGGCTGCCGCCCGGCAGATCCGACGCCTCAGCCGCTTTCGAGGACCAGGGCATCTGAGCCGGCCCTAACCTGAGCGGAGGAAGCATCGGGGTGCCTTTGACTGAAAGGGCCCGGATCGCTTTCGTCCCGTTCCCACGGAGGTTCTGCACGGAAATGGTTTGGAGGGGACCACAAATTGAAGGAACCAGTGCAAATTGAGATGAAGGGGGGGGGGGGGGTGTGCACAAGGGGACCCGGGGCATTGCTGTCGGTTTCACCCTTCCGGGTTTAAATGTGAAGTCTTATCTTGGAAAATGTTGCTTTACATTTCCTAGTCTCCTTTTTTGCATTTCTGCATCTTAAACCTGGTATCTCACAAGCTGTCAGTTATCCTATTACGTCAGTTAAATGATAAATGGTGATGAAGGATAAAGATGATGAAGATGAAGGAGGTTGAGGAAGATATATTGGCCCTGAGGAAAAAAGAAAACCCATCGAGGGAAAATTTGTATTAGGCCAAGTAAAATTAGCAGTAGCAATTGCATAGCCAAGGTATTTAATGCTTACTGTAAATAGTTAGCCTCTAAATACAGGGCCAGTTGTGTCTCTATATTTGCAGTTGGTGGAGAGGTTGCTTGAGATTTTGCTGTAGTCTAGTTTATATTTATGTATTGTACTTGGAAATTAGTAATTACATTCAAATTATAAGCATAAGTAAACGTATCTGAACCGTAAATCTATTCCAAATTTCTTTGAATAGCTGTATATTGATAGCAATAATTTTCAAAACAGTTGGGCCAAAATGATTTAATTTGATTTTATCGGGTTTTTAAATTTTGTGTATCTATGTATTTTATTGTTGGCTGTTCACCGCCCTGAGTCCTTCGGGAGTAGGGCGGTATACAAATCAAATAAACCATAAACCATAAACCAGTTGATCTGGAGCTGGTTGCAAGTGTCATCTCTCTGGCCTTACTGCATGGCTTCCCTATTTTGACAGGTGTGGCTTCCTGGTTTGATGCCTGTAATGAAGTGAGAAAAGCAGATTACTGACCTGTCAAAAGTCACTACTTCCCCATCCCAGCATTCATGTCTTGATTAGTGGATGGCTTTTCTCTGTTTAGAAAATGGGAAGATTACAGATCCAGAGAGTTCACCATATGAAGATGGGACAAATAAGGGCAATAGGTATGAGGACAAGGATTTTTATGTAGCAGTTCACACACATACAATAAGGTAAAGGTTCCCCCATAGATGCGTGCTAGTAATTTCTGGCTCTAGGGGGGGGGGTGCTCATCTCCGTTTCTAAGCTGAAGAGCCAGCGCTGTCTGAAGATGTCTCTCTGGTCATGTGGCCAGCATGACTCAACGCAGAAGGCACATGGAGTGCTGTTACCTTCCCACCAAAGTGGTCCCTATTTTTCTACTTGCATTTTTTTAACGTGCTTTCAAACTGCTAGGTTGGCAGAAGCTGGGACAAGAAATGGGAGCTCACCCCATTATGCAGCGCTAGGGATTTGAACCTGAACCTGAATTGCCAACCTTCTGATTGAGAAGCTCAGGGTCTTAGCCTTTGAGCCACCGCGTCCACTTACACATACAATACATGCTCACAAATTAATATAGAGAAGAATGCAGTGAGAAGTGTCTTTTGAACAACCCCCAGTGATACTATCTGGAAAAAAAACTTAATTGGTATAGCATGCCTCTGCAGAAAAATCTCTCTCTGATGCCTTTCAATGACACCCACCATTTCCTTTGCTTTATGGAAACAGAGACTAATCTACACACACACTTGCTGCCCAACATCTGTCAAAAGATTGCCCTGCTGAGCAAAGTCTCAACTCTCCACTCCTGGTTTCATGAGTTCAGCAGACATGGTGCTGAGGCCCTAATTTCATTGTCACAGATTCGGTGTTTAAATTATTGATGTCAAAGCAAAGGCCTCTAAAGTGTCCAGCTCCCCCACCCTTGATTAAGCAGGGACAAAGGTCATGAGGTCTGTCTGCTCCCAATACCCTCACCTCACTGCCCTCGGCAGCTGACACTTGGCTTATTTCACATATTGGAAAGTCTGGTGAAATCTGGAAAGAAGAACTGAAAGGAAGAGGAGGAGCTGATACTTTACATATACAAGAATAGGAATAACTGCAGGCTACATGATTTCTCTTGACATAGATTCCAGAATACAATACTCACCTATGGGCAGACAGACAGAAAAGGAAGGAAAGATGCAAGGATATATTCTGTGATGAAACTTTGGGGACTTTCTCCGCAACTCTGTGGAAGAGACATCTCTCAGGAACCCCTAGAGCTTTGACGCCAATAATTTAAACACTGAATCTGTGACAATGAAATTAGTGTCGCAGCATCATGTCTACTGAATTCATGAAACCAGGAGTGGAGAACCCTCTGACAAAACTCACATCAAGGCCACTGATAGGCAGATTTGGCAGTTAAAGCCCATCAGGCTTGTTTTTAGTGATGGTTTAGTGCTCTTCCAGAAGACACTATCAAAATAAGACCCCCATTGAGCGAATTCAAATGGGAGTGGAGTTGCCTGATAAAATGCAAGGAAAGGGCACATATTTTCACCAAGAGCAGCAAACAAATAAACAAGCAGAAACTTGAGCTAACATAAATACACGCGGCAAAACATGCTATTTTCTTATCTGTTAATGAGATCTGCAGGTTTTCTTATGATAGCTCCTTAAGCTAAATGCTATATGTTGAGTGATGCACATGCATAATAAATGTGAAGACACGGATATTCTGAACCAGGCACAGAAGACTGCTCAAAGAAGGGTGCATTCATTTGCATAGGTTCTTCTATAAGCAATTCTGGGTCTTCAAAATCCAGACATGATGGTATTTCCACACCTGCCACATTGAACTTTGATAATTTGAGCACAATCAGTAAAGGGCCATCATCCAGCCATGTTCCAGGCTCTGAGCATCTTCTTTATCCATTCCTTTGACCAAGCCTGTGCAAACAGCAGCCTGTTCTGTCTGCTCTCATGTTTACCTTCCTGAGGTGACAACACAGCCACACTCATAAAAGGAGGACCCCTGGGAAGGCAGTGATTAAATCATGGTCTGCCCAAGCAATCCATCTCATGTACCTGAACTCTGTTAATGGGAGGCTAATGGTGGCAATGCCTGCCTGGAGGGGGCTCTGAAATATTTATCAACAGATTGCATCGATAAACTGAAGCACCTGCTCCTTATCAGAGGAATGAGATGACGAGCATCTCTCTACAAGGGCATGGGATGCAAAATTCAGATGAAAGATTACGCAAGGAAAAGGAAAAGAAAATCTGGGAAGCCAGCATGCCCAGATGAGCAGCTGCTTTCCCACTTGCTGACAAAACCAGGGGATTACTCTTTATTGCCATGTGGGGAAAAATAAGGCTGGGCCCCAGGGGAGCCTTCCTCTCAGCACAAATAGCAGATGCAGCTTTCCACTGCCCTCATCTGGACAAGGGGCCTAGCAAGGGCAATTGGTTAAAATCTCATTAATGCTCCCACAACTCTAATTGTATGCTGGATCCAATGCCCTATCCATATGCACCCCCACATGAATATAATAATATCTGATACAACAATTTCACTCTCTGACAGAGGAAGACAATGAGAAGATTGGAGAAATTTTCCTCCCAGATGAGGGAGTGAAAAAAGATCAGCTTTTGGCAATGATTGAAGCAGGCCATCTTGTTTGTTTGTTTATCATAAAATGTTTTATAAAATTTGCCAAACTTCAGTCCCATGGGAGTCATGGATTCTGAATTTTGGGTGCATTCTGTAAGTTGGCCTCTTTTGGGGTACCTGCTTCAAAAATTGTTGTATCTTTCTTGGAAGTAACTCATATTAAACTGTACACCACATCAAGCTTCAAGAATTGGCCTCAGGAAATATTTTGACACTTTGTATTATGTCATAAAATGTTTTATAAAATCTACCAAATTTCAATTCTTTGGGTCAAAAACTTTTATCCTGCGAGGCACCATTTCTCCCAATGAAAGGTGACAGACATGAGAGTTTTAATAATATGTAGATACTAAATACATGGAGCCACCTCACAAGATTCCCAATCCTCTGGGGTCTCCAGGCTTGCTGGCATAACCAAGTCTTAATGGACTGTCAGAAGCTCAGAAGTGATGAGGCCAACCTCACTTCAGAGGGGAGAAGATTCTACAATATAGGAGTCACAGCAGAAAAGCCCCACTGCCTAAGGCCTGCCAAATGTAGCACCCTAGCTGATGGAACCCACTATGCTGGATCTGGTGGGATGGGCAGATGAAATCTGGGAGAGGTGGATCCTCAGTAACCTGGTCCTATGCCATGAAGGGCTTTAAAAGTCAACATCTTCACTTTGAATTGGACTCAAAAGCAGACTGGCAACCAATGCGGCTCACAAACCATAATTGTGGTTTTCTAGGAGGCCTGTGCCACTGCATTCTACACTGGTTGAAACTCTAGATATGCTTCAATGGCAGTCTCATGTAGAGCACATTACAGAAGTCCAAATGGGAGGTGAAAGCTGTGCAAAGAATCTCCTAGCCATGATTGCAATCTGATCTTTGAGTAGGAGTTGTGAGTTCAGGAGGATTCCCAGATTGCATACTGCATCTGTCTAGGGCCATGCAACCCCATCCAGCAGCAAACATGGCATAGATTTAACCCAGCAGCCCTGGGTTAAATCTATGCCACTCAGGCATAGATTTAACCAAGCCACTTAGTTTGTCGGAGTGTTGTGGCTGTTGTTCCCCTATGAGATCCTTATAGTCTTCAGGAACAGGGTAGAATAGAATAGAATAACAGAGTTGGAAGGGACCTTGGAGGTCTTTTAGTCCAACCCCCTGCTTAGGCAGGAAACTCTATACCACTTCAGACAAATGGCTATCCAATATCTTCTTAAAAACTTCCAGTGTTGGAGTATTCACAACTTCTGGAGGCAAGATGTTCCACTGATTAATTATTCTGTCAAGAAATTTCTCCTAAGTTCTAAGTTGCTTCTCTCCTTCATTACCGTGTTTCCCTGAAAATAGGACATGTCCCAAAAATAAGGCCAAGCCTGATTTTTGGGGTGGGCGTAAATATAAGCCCTCCCCTGAAAATAAGACCTAGTGACTGGGTGGGTGTGGCCAGCATAACAGGCAGCCCTTCCCTTCCCCGGTCACCTCAGGCCTTCTCGGCCCCTTAATCAGATCAGCTGAGCCACTCAGGCCACCATTCACAGCTGATTCGCAGGTGCTGCTCAGGCTGCCGCCTCCAGCAAGCGCAGCCACTTTTGCAGCCAATCTTCTCCCCCTCTCGCCGGGCATGGCAGGGCTTCCTGCCCCTGCCCAAATTGGATGCAATTTGGGGGTGGCAGGTGGGGAGGGGTGGGGCCAGGGAGACACGAGATGTGAATCTTACCTGCCTTGCAGCTCCGTTGCGTATCTTGCTATTGTCTGTAGACAAACACGTTATAGGGTAAAAAAAAAACCTCGCGAGTTCAATCAGACTTCTTGAACTCGCGAGAACTTTGTTTTTATCCTACAACGTGTTTGCCGCGCATCTCGTGTTTCCCTGGCCCCACCCCTCCCCACCTGCCACCCTCAAATTGCAACTTATTTGGGCAGGGGCAGGAAGCCCTGCCATGCCCGGCGAGAGGGGGAGAAGAGATGGCAAGAGGAGCCCCATCACGCTCCATGCATCTCGCTTCTCCCCTGCCCCACCTGCCACCCCCTTCGACAAAGAGATGGCGGGGATGGGAAGCAGCCAGGCTGCTGTTATGGTACCATTGGGGTGCGTGGAGCCGTCTTACCTGCCTTGCAGTTCCGTCGCATGTCTCGCCATTGTCTGCAGGCAAACACGTTATAGGGTAAAAAAAAAACTCGCGAATTCAATCAAACTTTCAATCAAACTTTCAATCAAAATTCAATCAAAGTTTGATCCTGTGACTCCTGAGGATGTGGACAGGGTTCTGGGTAAGATTAGTGCCGCCACGTGTTTATTGGACCCGTGTCCCTCCTGGTTGGTACTGGCCTCCCGGGAGGTTACACAAGGCTGGCTCCAGGGGATTATAGGTGCTTCTCTGAGTGAGGGTGCCTTTCCTGCCGCCTTGAAAGAGGCAGTAGTGAGGCCCCTCCTCAAGAAGCCTTCCCTGGACCCGGCTGAATTAACCAACTATCGTCCAGTCTCCAACCTTCGTTTTGTGGTGAAGGTTGTTGAGAGCGTGGTGGCACGACAACTTCCCCGGCACCTGGATGAAGCTATCTATCTAGACCCGTACCAGTCGGGCTTCAGGCAGGGGTACAGCACAGAAACGGCATTGGTCGCGTTGGTGGATGATCTCTGGAGGGCTCGGGACAGGGGTTGTCCTCTGTCCTAGTCCTATTAGATCTCTCAGCGGCTTTTGATACCATCGACCATGGTATCATGCTGCAGCGGTTGAGGGGGTTAGGAATAGGGGGCACCGTTTTGCGGTGGTTCTCCTCCTTCCTCTCCGACCGCTCGCAGTTCGTGTTGGCAGGGGGACAGAGGTCGACCTCGAGGCGTCTCGCATGGGGAGTGCTGCAAGGGTCAGTCCTCTCGCCCCTCCTGTTCAACATTTATGTGAAGCCACTGGGTGAGATCATCCGTGGTTTTGGGGTGAAGTGCCATCTGTACGCTGATGATACTCAGCTGTACATCTCCATCCCAGACCACCCCAACGATGCCCTTGATGTGATGTCTCGCTGCCTGGAGGCCGTGCGGGTCTGGATGGGGAGGAACAGGCTCAGACTCAACCCCTCCAAGACCGAGTGGCTGTGGCTTCCGGCGCCCCGATATAGTCAGCAGGTGCCATCGCTGACTATTGGGGGTGAATCTTTGCCCCCCCCACGGAGAGAGCTCGCAATCTGGGTGTCCTCCTGGATGCGCGGCTGTCTTTAGAAGAGCATATGACGGCCGTGGCCAGGGGGGCCTTTTATCAGGTTCGCCTGATTCGCCAGTTGCAGCCCTTTCTGGATCGGGATGCCCTGCGCACGGTCACTCATGCCCTTGTTACTTCCCGGTTGGACTATTGTAATGCTCTCTACATGGGGCTCCCCTTGAAGAGCACTCGGAGGCTCCAACTGGTCCAGAATGCGGCCACGCGGGTGGTTATGGGCGCAACCGGTTGTGCCCATGTGACACCCCTCCTGCGCAAGCTGCACTGGCTCCCAGTGGTCTTCCGGGTGCGATTCAAGGTGTTGGTCACCACCTTTAAAGCGCTCCATGTCATAGGACCCGGGTACCTCCGAGACCGTCTTCTGCCACCAATAGCCTCCCACCGACCAGTCTGTTCCCACAGAGAGGGTCTCCTCAGGGTGCCATCAGCCAAGTTATGTCGGCTGGCGACACCCAGGGGGAGGGCCTTCTCTGTGGGAGCCCCAGCCCTGTGGAACGAACTGCCCCCGGAAATTCGTAAGATCTCCGACCTCCGGGTGTTTCACTGCGCATTGAAGACCCTGTTGTTCCGCCAGGCCGGACTATCAACACAATAGTTTTAAATTGGGGTATTTAAATTTATTGGGGTTTTAAATCTGAGCCACTTTATTTAATTATTTTAAATTTTATATTGTTGTTTTGTCTGTGTTTTTAAATAGGCTGTACACCGCCCTGAGTCCTTTGGGAGAAGGGCGGTATAGAAATAAAATTATTATTATTATTATTATTATTATTATTATCATTAAACTTCCTTGAACTTGCAAGAACTTTATTTTTACCCTACAACATGTTTGCCTGCAGACAACGGTGAGACACGCGACGGAGGTGCAAGGCAGGTAAGATGCGCATCTTGCGTCTCCCCGGCCCCTGGCGAGGGGGGGGAGAAGAGACAGGAAGAGGAGTGAGCCCCATCTCACACCATGTGTCTTGCTTCTCCCCCACCCGAACAGCGAACAGCTGACGAGTGGCTGTGTTGTACTTCCATAGCAGCACAACACAGCAGCAGCCATGAGGTGGCCATGCTTGCCGCCTCCTGCATAGGGGTGGGTTCTACATTTTTTTACTACCGGTTCTGTGGGCATGGCTTATTTTGTGGGCGTGGCTTGGAGGTCATGTGACTGGGTGGGCGTGGCTAGCTGGTCATGTGACCGGGTGGCTGTGGCTATGTGTATAGGGACTACTCAGTGGGCTGAAAAAAGTCATTTCTGACAGGTCCTCGCACTTTTGACTGGTTCTCACACTTATGATCATCCTCATATTTATGCCCATTGTAGCATTCTTAACAACCGTGTCACTCATTTCACAACTGCTTCTCTTCACCATGGTGACAAGATAGGGTGAAAAATGTAAAATGTGAAGACAGTCATAAGTTCGAGGACTGGTCAAAAGTGCAAGGACCAGTCAAAAATAACTTTTTCAGCCATCTGAGTAATCCATATGCACAAAAGGATACAGCAATAGAGAGGGATGAAGGAAGGAGAAGAGAGGGAAGGAAGAGAAGGGAGGAAGGAAGGAAGGAAGGGAAATTAGAGTAGGAGTGAGGGTAAGAGAGGGAGGAAGAGAGGAGGAGAAGGAGAAAGGAAGAGGAAGAAGGGAGGAGAAGAAGAGATGGGAAGAGAAAGTAAGAAGGAAAGAAAAGAGAGAGGTGGTAGGTTTGAGGAGAAAGATTGCTGTACAATAAAAAAAGATGAAAGGGAAGAAAGCCAACCCCAAACAAATATAAAGATATTAAGATAAAGAATGAATTGTTAAACTTTAAAGAATAAAAGAGAACAAATATGAATAAATAGCAATAATTAGAAACACACATACAAACATACAATGTATTTTCTTTGAACAGAATATTTGGCCGGTTCACAAATTTAAACAGTGTTTAGTTATTTCAATTAAATTTACAATTTCCATATTTCCTTTTTGCCATATTTATTCATCTATTTTTGTAAAAAAACCAATATTACCCTTCATCCTCATCTCTAATCTTAATCAAATTCAATTTTTCCCTTCTATTCTATATTATACCCCTTCCCATTGTCATCTATTTTTATATCCATCCTCACATTGGTTAATTATGTAATATTACAATTGTTTAATACAAATTCAACATTTTTATATAAATCAATTAGTTATATAACTATCTTTTTTGTATATTAGTCAATATGAACATGAATATTCCAATTATTTCCATGCAATCCAATTTCTTACAAATCAATTAATTATATTTACCAATAATAATAAACCAAATTATTTCCCCATATATTCCTCCAAACCACAACTTAACCATTTCTGCTTTCAACGCAATATAAAATTAATATTGGTATATTAATACAGATTATCAAGGCCTCCAGTCCACAAAACTGCTACAGGCAAGCTGAAGTTCGAGAGAAACTTACAAACATGGAAATTGTCTCCCATTGCAAGTTCCTATGATGTGCGTCCAAAGTTTTGTGCGGCTAAACCTGGCAAATGTATTTTCTTTGGGCACACACAATGGATTAGTTTGAATTAATTTCTATCTAGTCTTCTCTGTTGCAGACACACATGTTGAAAACTAAACCAAAACCAAATTCTAGTTTTCTGCAAGACAGTAGGCAGCCGATTTTTTGTTAAATCAATAATTACAACTGGATTTTTTAAATCATAAAATCCAACAGAGGTGTGTGAAGTTGTTGAATGGTCAACTATTCCAGTTGAAAAATCCCTTAGTAGTTCAAACAAATTCTTTTGAAGTACATCTCAAAAGAACACTAGCCTATTAATGCATTTTGGATTATCTTTATTTACAGGAAAAGTATTGACAGGCCCTGCCTCTCCTCCTTTCCCAAGAAAGTATAGACTCTTGAAATGTGGTAATTCTAAAGGAACCTTTTATAGAGAAGAAGTGATAGCAGGACAGACAAAGCAGACTCTAAATTCCCTCCCAAACTATACAGTTAGAAATAGGGCTTTAGAATCCCTCCTCCAGTCTGAATGTGGATTCAGCCAATCCACAGGTGTGAAGATGTTTTTGTAACGGCCATCCTGAGAGACAGATAAGGAATCCTTCCCAGGATCTTCTTCCGCTTTCAGCAAACTGGAACAATCCACATGGCCCTCCCTCCTTATTATGTTCCAAAGAAGGTGAGAATACTGCAGGGCGCTTAGGCGCCAGGAAAAAAAGTTATACAGCTTATCCCCATGCTCCCCCCTCCCTCCATTTGAATGGCAGTATCACATTAGGGATCTGACAAGTATCAGCAGAGAAAAAAGACACCGATTTGTGAAACAATCAATACCAATGTACCATGTCTGGTTGAAAAGGAATGGTGAAGACCATGCAATTGAGAATGAATAGCCAAAATGTTAACTGCTTTAGAGACAATGCATATCATTC